AAATAATGCCCTTACACCAACTGCTTATGTCATTTTTCTTTTTCGCACACAACCTTTGTAAAGCTTTTCTTGTGAAGTCTTATAGGTTTTTCTTTCCAGCTGTTTTTTTTTTATTATCTATTATCTTATTGTTATTGAGAAAATAGGTGTGGATTGTTTCTGTCTAACTCATTTCAGGGTTCCGATTCTTTAATACCAAGCAAGCCATTGGGAGATTTAGGTGTGAAAAATGTATCAACTACGCCTACTCCAAAGAAGTTGGTTCATCCGTCATCTAATGGAATGCCACCTCCAAGAACCTTCCGGCCTCCGCCTCCAGAAACCATGCTGCCTCCACCACCTCCGCCAAAGTTCACTTCATCAATGCCACCTGGGAAATCGCATGATAAGAACAACATTTTCAGTAAAGCTAAACTTGATACTGTCCCTGGTAGGAATAGATCCCTAATCAGCCTTTTTTAAAAGTTTGCCAGTGCGAAATTTGCTTCCTTGTTATGAATAATGTTATGATATTGACTAAAATCTAGTAAATGATATCCTCCGATAGGAGTGTATAACTGCATATTACTTTACTAACTGGTTTAGTTGTTTCAGATACCTTGGTCCAGTTAATGGCATATGGGGATGAAGATGATGATTCTGAGGAAAGCAGTGATGAATCCCTAAATAGAAACTCCAATCCAGATGCTGTTCGAAAACCATTCTGGGCTTTGTGACTAACAGGTTGCTGAAGCTGCTAAATTTTTGGAAGTAGGAGTTGATTGTTTCGGATGTTGATTTAGTTTTATAATGGATTCAGTCAAGTGCACATCCAGTCGTTCTTTGGGATTGATTCTTTTGAGATTGTGGCTTCTCAAGTGCTTATTGAATACCAACAAGGTGCAGTAATTCCAAATCATCACACCAGCACTGCTTGCTCAGAAACATTTACAAGTTCCGAATCTGATAGTCAAGGGAAATTACTGTGTTGTATATTGGTTGTAACTTGCCAGTGCTGTAGATTAGTAGTTTTCTTAGTGCCTTGGTGGGATCAGCAAATCGTTGCTGCGTTAGAAGATAACTTCTCTTAGCTGTCAATGGGAACATGGAACTTAACTGTGTAAATTATTTTCAGTTACTAGAATACTAATATTCATTTGACATGTGTCTGAAAGTATACTTTTATCCTTGTTTACGCTTCAGTTTTTTTATTTTTTTTAATTTTATGTATAAGCTATTTATAATAGTAAATGGAAACGTGATATATTTATATGATGTAATGATACGAATAACTTGCAACTTTTTCTTTTTTTAAGCTTTAGGGCAGTTTTAACTATGGAAGCACCAAAGGCTTTGAAATAGCAGCAGCAGTTGGACAAAATACGTTTAATATTATGTCAATATTACGCGGGTATAAAAATAATAAAATTAAAATTAATAGTTATTTATGCAAATGTTAGTTATAAAAATGTATTTTGTTTATAATAAAAATTTAAAAATATAATTGAATGCAATAAAAGAATAAAAATTTATTTTAATTTTTTAAAATAATGAAAAAGAACTTTCCAATTAATTCTAAATCAACCAGATTTCAATGTGAAAAAAAAAACAGATTTCAATGGCTCAACTTTGCCTTACCATTAGAGAAAACATTGTATCATAAAAATCAAATCTCAGTGTTTAAAGGAAAGAAGAAATCAAAGACTAAGACTCATTATGTAACCATTAGAAAATGTCATAAGTCATAAAAACTAGGTGATGGCCATTCTTAATTTACTAAAGACTAAAGGACGTGGGGGAGATATGTTAGTATATTTTCTTGTTGAATGCTCCTGCTCCACCATGGTGTCTTTAGCTAAAGTCAAATTCCAAAGCCTATGGTTGTGAATACCAAAAGTTGTTGACAATTCAACCAATGGTTGCTAAGAAAGATGAATTCAAATGTTGGTATGGATAAGAATTTTCTCAGTTGACTTGTTTGGTTTTCAGCCACAGAACATCCATAAAAAGTTTAGTCCAAATTCAGGTTCTGTGAATCAGCCATTTGCTCTCAGGAGTGACGAGGACCCTTTTTTACAGGACCTACAAAAAATTCAAGTTGGGAAAGTCAAGTCTCTCTCAGATGTCAGGTTCTTTTAAGGTGGACAGATGCAAGCTGTACGCTTTTAATAAAAAGTTGCCTCAACTGAAAATGACGGGCTAACAAGAAACTTTATGATATAAATGCAGGGAAGCTCCATCGCAATAAATAGTATTCAATTGTTAATCCCCAAGTTGGCTTGAAATACTGGTTGCCATTCTACGCCATCAGCCACATGGGAACTGTTTGTTGTGTAATGTACATCCTGACAGATATTGGACCCCTCCAAGTTGAATTCAGGTTCTCACGTTCGTTGAACTTGAACTGCCTTTACTGTGACCCTAAAGCCAAGACATTTTCCATGCGTCCTCCAGCAACTTCTGAATCTGCAGCAATAACTGAAAAGTTGGACCTGATCACAACCCATTGTTAATGAGCTTTAGCAGCTTCAATAGGGATCTGATGGACTGGGTACCAGGATACATCCTACTTACAGCAATGGAGTTGTAGCAGTGAATCCAACTAAAAAATATGCCATTATTATGTTTGTTATAAAAATAGGCATCTCTGCAAAAGGATTAACGCAAAATGCAAATACAAGACAAATAACATTGGTGTAATTTCCAGCCTCCAATTGGATCGATCATATTACAACAATGAGATTACAAACAGTGATTATGCAATGACCCACCTGCTTATCGATCAAAGTAAAAAAGCTACAAGTACAATGGAAGCCTTTCATCTGTAAAAGATACAATCGTGTATGTGCCTAATATTGCTACCATGGTTTCACCTCCTATGAGGATTATGCAATGATTTTTGGGATCCCTCAAAGAGGTCCAACAAGTAATCCTGCAGATCTTCAGCATTGTACTTGATGTGTTTCTCACCGATGTGGGACATTTGTCTTCCCACAAATGTCCGATAAGCCTGGATCACTTTCAGGGATGTTGAAATTCTTAAATCTTCTCGAAGCTGAACATCTGGGATAAGCCATGCCGTCTGTGTTTTATAAACCTCTTCAAAAGCAACATAAAAGCTACGCAATCTTTCCTTGAGAAGGGTCCTTGACATAGAACTGGAGCTGGAATTGCCATCATCCTTCAATAAAGAGAGAATTGAACTCCAAGTGGCTCTCTCATAGTCCATTGCGTGCTGTTGGAATTTCCAGTTGTGCTTTCGAACCCAATTATCCCCTAAAATAAGCCTGAGTTCTGAATTTTTAACCTTTTGAGCCATGTAATGTATGTTGTTCATCAAAAATAAGTGTTGCAAGGACGCATCCCTGTATAATTTGGATTTATCATAGAGGTTGGCTTCAAGAATAGAAGTGAGTGATTGGAAGTGGAAAGCCATTGGAGAACAACTGCCCGAGAAATCTTTACTCATACTTTCCTCCTCTGTAGCTGGACTCATGTCAGGGGAGAGCAGGGAAGCAGCTGCTCCATCGTGGCTCTTGAGGAGCAAGTTGAGGGTATCCTTATAGTCTGCAAGAAGCCGAAGGTAATTCATAACATATCTGGTCAGATGGTGAATTCCACCTCCTGCAAAAGGGTTTGTTGATGCGTTTGATGCAACGGCCTTCTCAAATTCAACAAATGTTGCTCTTACAGTATCACCCAATCTCTCCAAAACCTCATGATACTCAATTCTAACAGAAGAACCAGCCTCATCTGAAAACAATGCATCAATATCAGGAAGAAGATCCGCAAGCACCTCATACATATCTAGAATTCGAACTAGCTTTTCTGGTTGATGAGAGCTAATTGAGATGGCCTCAGCAAAGATCAGAAGTTGCAGCATTGAAGCCTTTGCTGCTTCAACAAAACATACCAAATTAGCAGATCCAAGCTCTGCAAAAATCTGGTCACAGAGCCACTTCTCGCTGGCAAGATAGGGCCGCACGAAGATCTTCATAGCTCTAACCCATCTCTTAATTTTGGAATTCAAGCTACCCCACTCCATCTTGAGCACATCTTTAATGCTCAATTTCTCTATTTCAAGATTGAAGAGGCACTCATCCAATGCATCCTTTCGAACAATGACATAGGCCTGGCAACACTCATGATCATAATTTGACATGAACATCAAATTGGCGATGCATTTGAGATCAGGAATCACATCTGGATGAACCAAATCAATGATATACTCCTCTGAGGTTCTGCTGACGCTATCTCGGTGGGTTGACTCCTCAATAGAGTCATCTCCGGAAGAAACTATTGAGCCCTCATCAACAGCATCATCCTCACTCGAACGAAAAGACAAATGCTCAGGCTCAAATAGTTGCCTATGCTGAACAAGCATGTACTTAAACTCTTCCTCAAGCCTTTGCATTGCCATCTGAAGAACATCATGAGCCCTACGTAACAGCTCTTTCTCTTCTTCACTATTTAAACACTGATTCTCTAATCTCTCTGTCAACTTTCGAGCTTCATCCGCTGCATTCAGATATTCAACAGCTTCATCCGGACCTGAATCCCAAATCATAGACTCATCTGCCTCCCAACTCATAATCTTCTCCTGAACAACACTTAACTGCTCTTCAATCCCACTTTTCCCATCCTCAACCATGTTATCATCAATTGTAGCCATACTAGATAATTGACTACCAAGATCTGCCAAAATTTTCTTCACATCTTTTGTGAGGTTCTTATTAGAACCTAATGCTCTCGCTAAATGTTTAGCCGCAGCAATTAAATTTTCCTCTCCTTCTAATTGCGGAGCCACAGATTCATAATCCCCCATGGTCATGCTATAAGCAAAACCACAACAGCTCAAACTCTTTCTATCAAATACAAAGAATTCAACCCCAAACAACTTAAACTGCCTTGCTAAGCCCAGTTAAACACTACCCATCAGAAGAAAAATCCAACACTAGTACTTGTCTAGATCAAGCTATTGAATCAACAAAATTATAAAAGTGGAAACGTTGAGAAATACCCAACAAAAGAAAGGAGATAAAAACCACAATGGAACAAGAAAATAGATCCAACTTGATCTGAGAACAAAGACCAAAACAAGCAAAAATCTAAAAAGAACCCACTTTTCCTAAAGACTCTATCTTTTGAAACAAGGCATCAAAGGAAGCAAATGCTCCAAATCACAACAAAAACATAAGACCAAATGCATATATCTATCAACCAACTTCAAAAACGAAGAAACTGAAGACATACAATAAAACTATCAAAAGGAAGAAAGCTCGTTTTGCAGCACAAGAAGTCCAAAGAGATTAAGTCTATGGAGAGTGTACGGAAAGTACAAAGGAAGAAAAAGAAATAATGAAACTAACCTTAAAATTTGGAGCTTTGGGTAGATTTTTTTTAGGAAGTTGCAGCTTATTTACTTACAAGTTTCTAAGGTTGATCTCCCCTTTATTTTTATTTTTTTCGTCTTTGGAGTTTGCAACTTATTCAAGTCTTTGGTTACAGCTGTTCTTGTTTTTGTTTTTTTGGCAAGCTTGTCTACGCGGCAGAAAATGAGATACTAAATGATTTAATGAATTCTTTTATCTGATTTTGGTTGCTTCGCCTCACCTAACTTGATAATTTTCAACACATTATATTATCATGTTTAAATATATAAACGTGTTTAATTATGTTATCATATTTAAACGTGTATACGTGACTTATTTATTGAATTATTAAAAATTAATAGTTAAATACTATTTTAATCTTACTTAAATAATTTTAAATAATTATTGTAATAAATTTTTAAAATTTTATATATAAATAATATAATTATGCCATGCCTAAATCTTAATTTTGAACTTTTGTTTTGTTATAATTATTGATTTTAAATTTAAATAATAAAAATATATTTAATTATAAATATTTTTATTTAATCGTATTAAACGTGTTAATTGTGTTGTGTCGTCTATTTAGACATTTAACAAACCCGTTAATCGTGTCGTGTTGTGTTATACAATTATTAAACATATACATACGTGTTTTAAATTTAAAACACGAATATTATTCATGTCGTGTTCGTATTTAACTTTAACGTATTTCGTGTCTAATCATATTTGATATGTTTAAGACATAAAAATACGAATTATCATATTTAACCTAACCTTTTAACCAAAAAAAATAAAGTAAAAAGTCTTTGCAAGTTTTTTTTTGTATTCTAAATGCATATTTTCCTATTTATACTTTCAATTCAAAAGGTAGAAAGAAATTTTCAAGATTCATGACAATGCAATTGCATGGACTCTTTCACTCCTGAAGAGAAAAAATCTACTTTGATTCAAATTTATCTTTTCCTTAATATTTCCCATAGACACCCACAAATGAAAAGTTAAGGAATTCTAATAAAAAGACATGTCTATCAAATATAAATATAAAATTTTATTGCAAGACATACTAATTTATTACAAATCAAGTTATTTATAAATATAAGCCTTTCAAAAAAAAATTATTATTGAATTAATGAAATTTTGTAACATCCTCTCCCTGTTTAAAATAGGAAGAACAAATGTCTAAGATTAAAAACATTTTTTCTTATTAAAATAAAATAAATGTTTAAAGTTATATATTTTCTTAAAAATACGGAAGGTATGAGGACAGTACAAGATTTGAAACTTGAATTTTAATCATTCAAAAAGATTGACCTTTTATCAAGTCAAACGTGAGTTATTATACTTATTTAAAATTTTGTAATTGGGATTGATTTCGGATAAATTTTATTTTATTTTGTTAAATTAATTGTTTTAAAATTTTAAATTATTTTTATTGGAAAATTGGAAGGCAAAGTTATCAGCGAACTTTATCTCCACCTTAATTTCAAAGAATAAAAACTTAAATTCTACCTTATGACAAAGATTAATTTGAAAGAACAAATTCCAAGACTAAGATTAGAATTGCATCAAATAAAAAAGGTTTTTCATGGAATTTGTAACTTTATTAAATATTTTATAATGTGCTCACACCCACTAAAAGTTTTTATAAATTATGGTTCTAACAAGGAAAAGTTAGTGTAGGAAATAAAAAATATAGGGTATGAATCAATGAAGGTTTATGTATAATACCCAATATTCATATAAAACATCATATTAATATATATATATATATAGTGTATTTATATACATAAAATAAAAGAGTAATGAGTACCCTATAATAAGACATACATGCAAATGACTATATATTTGATCTTTATTATTTTCAAATGCTGACCAAGATTAATTAATAGTAACATATTATTTTCTTGGAATAAAATAATTTCAACGAATCATATTACTCATGCCTATATAGATTCAGATGATATTATACTAATTTTGCTAAAATTAGAGATATTAGTTAAATTCAAAATCTCATTAATTTTATAAATGATTAAAACAAACATGTCTATATCTAAAATTACAAAAGTCCAATCTATCATACCAAGTTAAATTCTTCTTAATGCCCTTTTTTTTTTAAAAAAGAAAAAGAAAATTGACCCAAGTTAGATTAGTCAAACAGCAATCAAAATCAAATAGGTTTGAAGTCATATCAAATTAGCCACAAACTAGCTTATTTTGATGTGGAAAGTCATTTTTCCATAAAAAATTTTTTAGTAGGCTAACGCCTTGGTTTGGTCAAAACTTCACCACAAAACATCATTATTTTTGTTTTCCAATATACATTAGGAAAAGGGAAAAAGGGTCCACCCTTAACAGAATTGCATTTATCTAACATCTCTGGGGGACAATAAGCTTTAATTGAATATTTTCCAAACATTTTTTTAATCTAATTTACTACAATGTTTTTTTATATCAATATTTTAAAAAATATAATGAATGATAACATTTTTTTGGTTATGTAAATCTCACATCCTTCATCTTTCGTATTCAAATTCGAGAATTTCTAGATAAAAACTTAATGAATTGGTAGTAGTGGAAATATCCTTGGAAAATAATTTATGCACCAGTAACTGCGGCGAAGAAATAAATTTAGCAATACCAAAAGAAATAGTGGGTGGAAAATGACAACAACCAACTGTGACCTTTTTGCAAGGAAGAATGGAGCATAGTTAGTAGTTAGAAACGAGTGGGTTGGTGGGGGCTTTCTATGTATTAGTGTAGAGCAAGTGTTGATTGTACCCCAAAAACATTAAAACATCAGTGAAGTGAACTTTTAGTTTGAGATCTGATGCCAAGTTCCTTCAAGTCTTCAATTTGGATTTCTGACCATACCCATTCGGTAGGAAGAGTGAGTACTTTGCCAAAATGACCAACAAACAAGATGATATCAAAGAGCAATAACCCCAACCTTCAATGGACCACTGCTAGTGGCATTGGGTGCCTTTCTCTTTCTGTGTTTTCTTTCTTTATTGTTTGCCTTATTTTTAAGTCTTTGTGTCTCTCTTTCTCTTCCACAGTCCTTTTCAATCCGGGGTTACTTGTTTGCTTTCCCAGCAGCAATGCTTGCTATTCCCACTAAAACAATTAGGCAAGAAGAACAAGAAGAAAGCTAAATATCATATGAATGAATCCATAACAGAAATGCGAAAAGGTGAATGGTATATCAGCAGGAAAGGTGAATCCAATTAGGATTGAGGCAGAGTGGTTCTTCTTTTGTTATGAAACAAGATTAAGCTAAAAGCCTATACTTTTCCATTTTGATTATCCAACCAACTTTTGATTCAGACAAATGCATACTTACAACCAAAACCTTCTTTCATTCCATTTACCCCCTTTTCCCCCCCTCTATTACACAACCAAACTTTCTCTCTACTGATTTTTCAGTGGTTACAAATGACATAATTGCCGTCCTCAACAACAACAGTACAGAAGTTGGTACTTAAAGTTGGGGAGACATCTTTTTCCTCCCTTCCCTTTTGCTGTTTCTTTTATTCCCTCATTTCAAGACTTTGGAAGGGGTTCCCCTCTCAAAAACGATTTGAATAGCTGAAGAGCTGCTCGGCTTGAAAAGTGGTACTTCATGACCTGCCCCTCTCACTGTTGCAAATGTTAGCCCATGATAGACCTCGGTCCAGCCCCCCACCTTTAAAAAAAATATATTCGCATCCCATTTGCATACATCAGTATCACTGCAACGTATATGGTGCTGTTTTCATGTCTAAATTGGTCAGTAACAACAAAGTTTCCAGAGTGGCTAATGCATGACCCCCAGGTTTTGTTGACGGGCATGTGTCTAGTCAATGTCACGTGGATATGGTTGCACTCTTGCCATGATCATCACCATAATGTTCCTCATCTCTTACTAGATTTATGAATTTTATATCATACAAAACAACATATCACATCTTGATTGGATCATTTGGTTCTTTGAATTGTGATAATAAAACAATAGTTAGTGGGACAAACTAGAGCTAAAGAGATCCATAATGGCACTCCTACAAGCATTGCTGACCAAATGCTACACTGCAGCAGATCTGTGTTCAAAGTTCAAACTCTAGGTCTTATTCAAAGACTTAAGGACAGATATAGGTCACTATTGCTTATATCAATCACAATTAAGACTAGACCACAATTATAGAAATCTGATGCTGAAAAGTAAGCAAAAATCCAAATAGACCTAAAATAAAGATCTAGAAATCCTAGTACTGACAAAATTTGGTCGGCCAGGCTTGCTTTGACTTATCTAATCCAAACCTAGACAAATCTATGGTATTAAGTAATTGCTAGTTGATCAGATTAACTGTATACTCCATAATTAATGGCAAAATCATGATAATATTTCTTTTCTTACTCATTCTTGGTTAGTGTTTGTTTGATAATAATAATAATAATAATAATAATAATAACAAAAAGAAGGATGTTGCTTACCTGCTTCTTTACATACCAAGGGTACCAGGGAATTTTGGTTGTTAATTTCAGTTGTGCAAGGGAATACCTTGTGGCTGTAACTGGAACCACTGAGTCTACATCACCACTATTATCATCCAACATCGCAAACACAAAAAAAGGGTTCATTGAGAATGGAATTTCTCTAAGATATAGAGGGTAAATTCAAGCTTTAAATTATGTAAATACAATCTTGCTAACCTGAAAACCCAAACTCTCAGGCCGCCAGCAATCATTTCCCTATAAATTGGTAGAACAGATGCATCTGTATCATTCCAATTGCGATTTAAAACTTCACTGCATCATCAAAGAAAAAGAAAAGACGTAATTTAACACTAAGCCAATGCTGTTAATCATGTAATGGAAGGGCTTATTATGCAATTGAAGTACCTGCAAGCAGTCCATTTATAATGAATTCCGGTTGTGTTGGCATGGAGTGCTTTTTGCACGTCTGGCCTGTTGTAGTAAATCTCCGCATACTTTTCTGTGCACGGATCATAGCCTGATATTGCCCTGAAAATCTGGTAATATGCCAAAAATGGATATGAACATGGTCATTAAAAAATCAACTAGGGCCTAGAATAACTAGGACCAATATTTTCATTCTTAAAATTATAATACACGGTAAGTAATTATCGTTTGAATATGTGATTATTGTATTCTTTAAACACTAGAAATTCATACCCTATGTGGTCGATGAGGCATTCGCATAGTCTGCCTGGTGAAAGGGCTACCATCTGAATTATTGCAAGGGGGTGCATATATGTTGTATTGATCAATGTTTCCAAACTCTTGATCCATGGCATAGGTATACAATGATTCACATTCGTTTGATTCTTTCTGCCTTCGAAAATCACAAGTGTTGATGAGTTGCTGATATGTTTTATCAGAGATCATGGCATGGCTCCACCAGTATGTCACTGTCCCAAGGTTATCATAATAGTTGTCTGTGACTGCGTTTCCCACCTGCATTTCACTTTATCTACTTTACAAGCATGAAGATTATTAAAGAAAAAAAAAAAGAAACCCTATTGATTTCAAAGCTAATTTGAATGGAAATTAAATGGAAAATGCTTAATTGTAGATGAAGACTAGTATTACTGGAATTTGTTGGGTCAACTTTAATTAATTGACTAGCTATATGTTGGCAATTAAGAACAAAAACCGTGACATATCTTCTTTCTAGCTTTGTTTCTCTCTTGACCAATCCTAAAAGAAAGAAACACAAAAAACTTAGTAAAAATTGTATATGATGTTACAAATGGATTAAATTACCATTATTCCTTTGAGATTTATTCGGTGCTTGGACTTCTTATTGTAAATCATGATTTGTCTAGCCAACTGAGGCACATAATGGCCAGCATAGCTCTCACCAGTGATATAGATATCACGGTTCTTGTATCGGGGGAATCGATCAAGCCATCTGATCAAGAATTCCAACGAGTCTATAGCTGAATCAAAATCATCATATTAGATCACAGACCATGAATTACATATTTACAATCAACAATCTAGCAGTAAAAACCTGTTCATATTTGGTTGATGTAAAAGGATAGTGTCGGGAAACAAACTTAACATTTTAACCAAAATTGCCAACTCTGACAATCACCTGAGATGACTCTAGATAGAAATACTAGTCTTTCATTAATCAAGTATTTCTAGAAGAAACTATTTGTGATTATTGTCACGGCATGGATCACATTTAGCCTTTGATGTACTAAATGTGGACCAAAGAGCCATCAAATCTATCAACAAGCAATTATGCATGCTTTATATTCTGTAGTCGATCAATGACGCAGGTTTAACCTTTAAACATTCTAAAATCTTGCTTAGCTGAAGTTGGTCAATGGATTATAACAAAGAGTGGACCATAGAATCATCATGATCATCAAAATAGAGTATGGCTAGTCTTTCCATTATGACCAACCAATCATAGTCACAGGCAACTTTTCTGCTATAACTTCTATAAAAACAATCATAGCATATAATTATGTAACTAAAGTAATGTTGCAAAAACGGGGTTTAGAGACCCACCAGTTCGACGGTCGCCGGTATCAAACAAATCGGAGCTGTGGTTGCTGTAAGAGAAGCCTACCCCAGCTGGAGTTTCCAAGAACAATAGGCTAGCCACGTTGTTCCATGAGAACTTGTTGAGGTATAACCCTGAGGCAGTCTTGTTAATTCTGAATGGGCCAATCTCTTCAGAAGCACCATATGCCACGGAGGAGCAACCAGGACCTGACAATAGGAACACAAACAAAAGGAAATAAAAAAGTAACTTTAGATGGGTCCCATGAAGACTTTTAACTAGAAAATGGAAACATATCATGTGAATGAAGTTTACTTAAAATGTGCATAACTTGCCTTGCTGTCCAAGAGCATGCTATATATTTAGACTTACTTAGGCAGTGGAACACAAAGACAAAACGACCTTCCCTAAGCTAGCCATGCAGCTGTGTAATTGATGAAGGAGCTGAACTATAGTGGCTGCTGGTATATCTTCCTCCATTCACAATATTTGCTGGGACCTAATAAATGTAACCTGTTTCTGGTTGCTTTCTGGCATTTATACTTGCTACTGGTATTACAATCAATGCACACAGAAAGGGAGAGAGGGAGGGAGAAAAGGAGATTTGGTACATGTGGTTTTGTATTTATATGTGCTTAGGGATTTCTTCTTCCTTTTTTTTTTTTCTTGTTTTACTTATCTACTGGTAGTTGAGTGTTATGGCTCATGAGTTCTAGTCTTTCATTGGTAGTTAGATCATCATTCCTAGTTATTGGTAGGCCAGTCAGCCAGTCACCAGTCATATTTGCACTCTTTCTTTTCTTTTCTTTTCCTTTTCACTTCTTTACAAATACAAATTTACCAGATTGAAGAAGGGATTTTACAGTGTAAAATTTACAGTTCTATACAAGGAAAAGCCTCAAAACTAGTCAAAATGGAAGAAAAAAAATAGAACTAGCAATTTTCAGTACATAATTATGATCATGTCGGCAACAAAGAGGCCACTGGATGTGTCGGTTTAAGGACAAAACATGGTTGAGGAAAGCAGGAAACAAAGGTAAAACCTTACATTAATGAGCTCTTGTACCTCTTAAGAAAATGATACTACTTAACAATTATTAGTACACCGTCACTACTAAACAATATAACAGTAGCGAAAAGAAGACGAAACGAAAAGGAATGAAAATCTTTGGTTCCTTCCAACAAAGTGTAGCAATAATGTTCAGTGTTTAGCTAGGGAAGAATGAAGTCACTAACCTCCATTGAGCCAGATGACTAGAGGCTTAGACAAAGGGTCATTGGCAGCCTCAGTAAGCCAGTAAAAGAGTGCTCGACCAGCAGCTTTGTTAACAATAACATAGCCAGAGAACTGTTGAAAAGAGACTTTGGGTTGCCCTGGAAGTGCTGATATTCTGTCGGCTTCTTCCTCTTCCCTCACTGACCCTTCACTTTGACTAACACTTACTACCAGAAACACTAACACCATGGAAACAAGGATCTGTCCTTTGGTCGTATTCATGGCCTCAATGAAGAAGAGGAAGAAGAAGAAGAAGAAATAAGCAGAGAAGGGAGAAGTGTCTGCTCCTAGTTGTGTGTGTGTGATGGGAAGTGCGGACTGTGTTACATGGGGCTGGATTAAATAGGAGAGAGAAGGAGAGAGCGTGAGATTATGATTTATGGATGTCATCAGTCATCACCAATATCATTTTACTATTTTGGGCACCCCTCTTTGTGGGGATCCCTTATATAAAAAGACATCATTCACCTTGTGAAAACCTGAATTTGAGGCTTGTTCTGTATAATCAACCACCAAAAACTGAAATATCTTTGAAGAATGAAAAACTCATAACAAAAGCTGGTTTTTTGTCCATAATAAATTGAAATCCAAAATAGGAGATAAAAGTATTGGAACTTTGTTATGGGATCATTGCCTAAAGTCTTCTCTAAGAAATCAAAGGATACTATTGGAACTTTATTATAACAGGAGAGGGGGTGTCCATATCAGTAACAAATTTTTTGTTTTCAAGGGGTGCCTTAATACCGTGTTAATAGGAGGGCAATGGGATGGGATCACATTAACATGGTTTCCACGCATCCATGAAACGGTCCCTTCTATCCTCCATTAATTCCTCGTGCATTCATGTACAAGAACTTTGACCACTTTTTTTCTTTCCCTGATTGCCTTTATCCAACTCTAAATTCTCTGCCCTTTCTTTCTCTTTCTTTGTTTTTTTCTTTGTTTGTATTGTGATAAGCTGTAAACATGAATTGTCCGTATTCCCAGTTTTCTTTTTTTTTTTAAAAAAAAAAACAAGCCTTTCATTTGTTCTACTTGTACATATTTTATTCTGATATTATATATATATATATATATATATATATATATTGGTACGATTGATAATCTATTGCTTTGAGTTTGTCGAGAAGCAGCCACAAGACCAACCTAACAGAAAGCAGGAAAAAGGCTCTATAATAAAGACACAGTCTTGCATGTTTTCAGCTCACATATTAAGCTATTTGCTTATTCATCATTTAGTTTCGTATAATTAAAATTTTTTAAATTGCAAGCATGGATTCAAACTAATTAATTAATAATTAAAATATGACGTTTTCACTCATATAATAATATTAAATTTTAGTTCCTTTCATCTTTTTAAAACTGTAATAACCGTAACGTCAAATCTGAATTAATATTATTTTTATTATTTATAAATTTAAAATTAAATATGAAATCCTTCCATAAATTAATTGGTTTAGATATTTTGATTGAAAAGTATGAAAAGTTTTGAAATACATGTAATAGCTGTAAACACTCTGTTTTATTTGATTAATTTAATTATCAACTCGCACCTCATAACAATAGTATCTATTACTCCTTCAAGTTAGTTCATATTTTAAATAGAGCTACCACATTCTTTTACAAACTCAATCAATCCCCATATGTTTCTCTTCTTATCATCTTTTTGTTAGTAATATTAGGTTGCACTTAAACATTTAATTCAATGTGCAATAGTTAAGTGTATTTATTCAAACGAAAAAAAATGGGGTTATCAAACTTTTCTTCTTTGGATCAAAACTGAATTTTAAATAAGTATTTAAAGAAAAAAAAAGTTGCATGTTTAATTACAAACAGAAAGTGGATTTCAAGTAAATAAAGGTTTTTGATTTTCTCTTCAGTTCTCTTTACGTGCACGCGAGCCGGGGTGAGGGGGGCAAGGTTGTCATTGACTTCTATAAATAGCATGGTGTGTGGAAATGGTGATGATGGCTATGATGAACCCTCCTTTGGAGCCTTGCTTCCACACCCTCTCCACTCTCCAACACCCACTTCTCCACTTTTTTCTGTTCTTCTTTTGCTCAAATTTCAGCTAAAATCTTTACAACCATCATAGCTTCCTCCATTTACCCCTTTTTCTCCACTTCCATTGTTTTTTCCTCTTTTTTTTATTTCATCAAATTTGTGTACTTTTAGCCTACCATTAATGCTTTTGCACTTGTAATGAAAATATTTGGTATATGCTAGTTGGGAAAAGAGAACAAAAAGGCTTAAAAAAGTGATTCAGAAGGTTCTATTAGGGGCAGGAAATATTTTACTTTGAAACTTTTGCTGCTTTGTTTCTTCTATGGATCTCCCTTTCAGGAAAAACCAAAAAAAAAAAAAAAACTAAATATGGTAATGTGAGATCTCTCTGTTTAAAGGCTAAGCATAGTGGAGCACCTTTTGTCTTTTCTCTGTTAAGTTATACTATTCTAAGTAATATCATAATGTATGATCTTCCATAGCTCAATTTCATCTAATTATGTACTTAATTATAGCCTTTACATGTGGACACCAAGATTGATGACAATGCTGTATTTTTTTCCTCTTAGCCAGTCAGAGAGTTATCCTCTTAGAATGTTGCACCCAAATTTTGATTTTAGGTTCCTAGAATATCCTTAAAAGTAAATTTTATATATGCTTACAGAGTCAAAAGCCTAGGATCCTCATGATTGCATAATTAGTTTGACAGTACAAAAATAAACGGAGAATATTACTAAGAATATAAATACAATCTGTTTTTCAATTTCTTTTTTATATTAAATGAAGTAATTGATAATTAATGACATGATTTTTAATTTATTAAAAAATTTTTTTTAATATAATAATGTTAAAAGAAGTATTTTAAAACGCTCTTAATAAAACCCATAAATAAAATAAATATAAATAAAAAGATGGTGCTTGACACGGCTTATTTAGGATTGTGGGCTTACATACAATTGTAGCTGAGACTCAGCCCCGCTGTATAAGAATAGGAGTAATGATAGTATTTATGACTTTGGTGTAGAGAGTAGAATGCAAGCAGGGAAGTAGTTGGTGCTAACATTGAAGACCTTCAAACACTGTACCACACTAGCTGCAGTCATTGACGAGAGGGTCCAAAAGAACTAGAGAGAGAGAGAGAGAGAGAGAGAGAGAGAGAGAGGAGGGGGGGGGGGGGGGGGGGGGGGGGGGGGGGGGGGGGGGGGGGGGGGGGGCGGGGGGGTGGGGGGGGGTGGGGGGGGGGTGGGGGGGGGGGGGGGGGGGGGGGAAAAGGGTGAGTGATCACTTTCAAATACTCAATGCTTTGCACAGACTTTGAAAGTGCTCATTCATTTTTCAAGGGTTTTTAACAACTCTTACCCAAGTCCTGGCTGTAACACAATCAAAATTTTTGGATGAGTTATTTTATAGTTTTCATAAAGAAAAGAACTAAATAAATTCAATTAATCTCTTCTTTTCTAATAGACTTAAGTCAAGAGGGGCAGCAACTTGTTTGGTGGATGATGGCACCACCTCCAATAGTTGAACAGATAATAAAGCATTCAATTACTTGCTCTTCAACTCATTGTTGCCAAATTGGGCTGCAGGAGTTAGTCAATTGAGAAATAATTTTTTTCAAAAAAAAAATTATCCATATTGGCGTTTGATTTTTCTCAAGTGTGAGAGCACATGCTAAAAGCATAAAGAACAAATGCATTGTCTTGACAGCGTTGCCAATAATCATTACAAAACTTAAAGGTTTGTTATCATTTAAAAAAAAAAGGGTTAATGTTAGGTAGTCAAATTAGTCAGAAATAAATAGTAGATGCCACTTTCAAGCCTCTCAGATAATTGGGTTTTTGAGGAGGGGAAGGAGAGAGGAAGGGTGAATCACAAAAATATCAATTGCAAGTGTAATTTGCTTATAAAGAAATGATTGGATTGTTAGTATATATACAGTTGAATACACTTGAAATCTTTTGTTCAAATTCATTGCACTAAAAAGTAAAATCCCTCTTTTATTATATCTGTAGATTACAATCTCTTGCTTGTCAAAGTTAGTCAGTCAAACGGGTTGGTGTGTGATGGAAATAGGTTAGGTGTTTCTGCAGGAAGGAAGCAGATGAGAGGGCACAGTTCCATGGATGGAACAGTGAGGGGAGTGTGCTTAGCACACACGTGCCTTTGATATGACCTACACTCAATGTCCAATCACTGCTGCCCAAGCCACAGCATGGTTGCATTGCACGCCTCGCAAATCTGCAAGTTTAAGCACTTGTCTTTTTTCGTGGATTTCATTTCAGCAACTGATCCCACTTTTCAAAATGACTAGAAGCTGGAAGGAAGAAATAAAGAAAATAAAGTATCAATAATTAATGTATTATTTCTTTTTAAATTTAATAAAAATACGATTTAACTGCTCTTAACCTATGCCTATTGACCCAAATAAGCAGAAATTCTCTTTGAAATTCAATGAAATTGATCCATTTTATAGATTGTCTCTTCATTCTTTTCCACCATCTCTCTTTCTTTCCTATTTGTAAACTCTCCTCCTCATCAAATTGGACATATTGTTTTCTTTCACTAGCTATATAATTAATTGTCCTTAGTTTGAAGACAATCAAATCAAGCTAATGATGATTAGATTAATTATATTAGTGACACGAGGCAACATCTGCATTGTCATCACCAGCTTTAAGATAAAAAATATCTTTGTTTGACATTTCTCTGTCTTGAATCATTATTAACACCTTTTATGTGGGACATTGAGATTATTTTTTTTTTTTTGGGGTCTATAAAACTTTCTGGACCAAATTACATATCATTTGTATTTAAAGATTTCGAACATCTAAAGTTATAACATATGGTCATTTTGTAGAAGCAGTGGTGGATTTGTTTTTAGCAAAATAATGGTTATAGGAATTCAGCTCAATATAGGAAAACAGATCCAATAATGTAAATTCTAGCTAAGAATAAAGGATTCTAGCATAGATGATATGATAGCAAGCATGGCCCATGGGGAAGGCTCTCACTTAATCTTCACTATTATAAATGATGGTGCGGCTATGTATGCCGACTTTTAATTAGTGTCCGACATCATGTCATCATAAAGGATGACAGTCATGTAATTGTAATAATAATTTCAAAAAGTATATTTTCCTCTCTAAGTTGGACAAAGATTAATAAAAGCAATTAATTGCTATATTCAATATAAATCACACTGCTAACAATGTTCACCTATATATGTGGAGTTATATCTCACTACTCCTATTTCTGGCACACTAGGAAAAGCCTACCCACGTTTCAAAAGGGTATAATTAATGCTGGGAGCTTAATCTGTCTTTAACAAAAACAAAAAAGAAAAAGGCCATTTGGTCTCGAATTTACAACAAAATTATACACAAGTTCAATTATTGTATAATTTGTAGTTAGTATATTAATAAAGCTGAAATAATTGTTGAGGCTTGCCACTTGATGGCTAGTTGCGGGTGTTCTATCAAGTAGAGTAGGCCCCTTATCTTCATTACAATCCCAACTTGTGAAGAGATTGATTTGGAGTATACATATCAGCACTCCACGGGCTAAACAAGCTACATAAACAATTGTCTACCACGGAAATCCTTATGGTAATGACGTGTATTATCTCTTTTTTTCTAGGTTTTTATTATTGTTAGTTTATTTTAAGTTAAATTTATGTTATAAATGTATTCAGGTTAATTATTATGAATTAATTTATTACATATAATTGGTGTATATATAAGATATTGCAAGAACAAAACAAAAATGAAAGGTTTTAATGTTTTAATAAAGCATGAAATCTCTTATTGAAATCCATTTGTGGTCCAAGCACAGTGAAAAGGTTAATGAAACCAGTATCATAAGCTATAATGTTTATTCCACCATTGTGGCCATGAAATCTGGGTCACAGTCCATTATCCTTATCCTTATTTGCTAACTAAGAACAAATTAAAATTAAATAAATAAGTGGGGAGCTAATTATGTGGGTTTTTCCTTTTTGTGATGATGAAGGTTCTTACACACTCGTGTGAAATCGGAATTATGTTTTCCTGGGAGAGGAATAATCAATGAATTAATTAATTATGCCCACCAATTAAAATTGGTCACAAGTCAAATAAGCAGACTCCTTTGCTTATAGTTCAAGAAGAATGGGTCACTGCTTTAGGAATATGCTCCCTTAGGAATATTGCGCAATGGATTACTTTGGTCATTAGTGCTGTAAAGATGGCGGCTGCCCATGCTGGTTACATTTAACTCTTTATTATTATTATGCATTGAATTATACAATGAGACATAATCATTTTAATCTTGTATAAATCTCCTATTTTCTCAAATTTGACTGAGAAAATTTCTGAAGTAAGAGTAAACTTGAACTACAAAGCAATTAATATGAATATATGGCTCAAGAAAATTAAGTGAGAGATTTGTTATATTTTAATAATTGAATGATCAAGATAATAATATTTTTAAATATTGTTAATCAAATTGTTATTATTTAAAATTGATTGAAGTTTCTTATTTCTCTTTTTGTTAAAACTTTGATAGTTATTATACTTTTACAAGGAAGGTGTAATTAATTGAGAGATTAATTTCAATTGTAAATTCTTGAGGTATTAAAAAATTTTGACTTAAAATGATAATGTTTTGGCTACTTGTTGATGTCTTAAGAAAGCATTCTGGAAACTCAAGAAAAGTATACGCAACCTTTTGGCAATCATAGACTTGATTCCTATCAAACCTTTGCTATGTTGGAATATGTAACAAGGAAATGTGACCAATCAAGTCCATTGGGAAATGAGACAGCAGACTCTTCCAAAGAAGCCTGGACTATCCATGTGTGGGGAGGGAGGATTCTTCCTAGTCATAAAAATAAACCCAGCCACGTCGGCAAGGTTAGCCATAGCTTTGATTAAGAGGGACCTTCTAAGAGAGTCAATAGTGTTTCTTTTCATCCCCTTTATATGAGAAATATTTAATTTTTTTTATAATTGAGAGAAAGAAGATTTGAATCTTATTCTCTAGATAAGAGATTATGTACAAATTAATAAATTAAATATTTAAATATGTATGAGCAATATTTAATTGATTTAATGCAAATTAGAATTTTTTTCTTTTATATGGTATGGCAGTTGGGAGAAGACCACCTAGGAATAGGATGGGCATGTCCAGGGATTCAACCCTAGGATTTTAGAATAGAGAAGAAGATGCCATTCAACGACTGGGGCTAAAAGCTTGTGGTGGCCTAATTTAATTGTACCCGTATGCTTGCTCAAAATGCTAAAATCATGAGCCGACATGTATATCCCAACTTTACTTTTTAAAATCCCAACGGCTAGTGTTGGCCCTGGAAATTGGACCGTTACAACCCCTCTTTCCTTTCATGGCAACCCCAGAAAATGCTCTTACCATCTGATGTACTCGTATAAATTCACACCTTTATTCAGAGCTTTCAATTCAATACATCTCTCTCCTCAACCCCACTTTAATTCAAGGCTTGTTATCAAATCTTCTCAATAATCTCATAGTTTAGCAAATATTTTCATTTCAACAATGGAGCAAGTGACAGAAAACTCTATTCAATCTGAAAATGTGGGATTAGAGAACAAAGCACCGCCCCAGAATCAGCAAATTGATCAGAATTCTCAAGATTCCGGCAACGATTTGAAAAAGACATGTACCCCAGATAGGCTTAAAGTCCCCAAGGCATTCAAGTACCCTGAAAGGTAAGTAATTCCGCATTTTTAATTTGAATAATTGTGTTTCATGAATGTTTATCTATATGTAAATTTGGATTCTTGGTTTATCTTCAGGTACAGAAGTCCAACCGATTCTATGGTGTCACCTGTTACGAAGGGTCTTCTTGCAAGAAACAGGAAAGGTGGTGCATCACTCTTGCCGCCTAGTATAAATCAAACCAAGGTAAGTATCGAACATTGTAATCTGCTTCTGATCAACCCTTTTCTTCCTTGATGCACTAGATTGTTGTTGCTTTGGAATTTGATCCTAGGATCTCTCTATGCCTTAATACTGAGGCAGCAATAATCATCAGCAAATCTAGGATTCCTTCTATGAACTTTATATATATGATATGCCATATTGAATTTATCAGTAGTTATCTCTCTCTCTTTTTCTTCAAGTTATTTACTGTGTTTGTCGATGTTTCAGATTCATGAGTTGCGTGTTCAAGATGTTCGTCTATCTCAAAATTGAAGAGCTAATGATGGTGGATGAAAGCTAAAATCAGATAGATTCTTGAACCTAGTGAATTTGTCTGAAATTGTATACCTGTCAATATAAATTACGAGGAACAAATAGAATGGGAGGGATTTATCTTCTGAACCTGTTCCTATTTATCTTTGTCAAGTTTTTGTAATGTAATGCCAATTTCGTTCTATAATAAAATTATTTGCTTAGTAATTAATCATGATGTTCAAACGCTTCATAGGAAGAGGAGAGGGAATAAGAAACTGTCGAAATTTAAACATCGTCTTTGTTTGTAATCCTTTGTTTTGTCAGAGAAGAAAGAAGACCAGAGCTATGGTCACTGGCGAAACATGCCATAGACGATAATGATTACTTATGACTAGCATGCATGCCTACTGCCCAACCATTAACTGGTTGATTTATTGGAGTGGGTTGGGAGTCATTATTAGACATTAAGACCGGTTAAATATGTATTGAATGAGGTTAGAGGATCAAGTAGGTCCATCTCAATTGAAATGAGAGCAAGATTTTTGTTTATCTTTGGCCTGATAAATCTTTCTGCTGCAAAATAGCATTTCTTTGAAGCAACATAGTAGTAAAATCGCATTACGCTTCTATTCTGCTGTAGCAAATCCATGAAAAATGTTTAGGCAAATGCGTCAGCGTATGCTTCAAATCAATAAACTGTTGGCTAGCTCTGATAGCATTCAGTATATACATACGTTTCTGTTATTAAGAAACTGATAGCTAGCTCTGTATAGCCCTCAGTATTACATGATTGCTACATGGTCATGACTGCTCTTCTCACTCTAGTCGAACTTCATACCATTGAATCGAACCAACATCTCCATCTATTTCAAGTTCACAAACGGACCTTACTAAGTAAGAAACAGCATCATCGATGGTCACAAATCTTGCAAGGTCTGGTGGGAGGGTCTTCCCTGGCCAATTTTCAAGCCAGCCCTTTAACTTGGCTTTCAATTCTTCCTCGGAGACAAACTTTTCTTCTTGTCCAGGTTCTAGTAGAACATAGGTTTCAGTCCTTGAATATGCTGCCCTTCTCCTCCTAGTTGCACAAATCTGATGAAAAACAAACCAAGTCAAGACACCCAAGGACCCAAAAGAAAAAGCAGCAAGAAGACAAGCCCCCAAAACCCCTCTTCCTGTTGGTTCTCTCAATTCATGGACTACCAAATGATGGAGAAAATGCCATGCTCCTGAAAGATTATTCTTACACTTGATTATCAGCAGGTCACAGCTCATTAGGAGTCGGCACTATTTAAGTGTTGCAGAAAAGGATTTATTTGTAGTCAAGATCACATAAGGATGATATTTTGTAGATCATCTCAGATTTTGCAAGATGTTGTTATCTCCACAGTTTCACTTGGATGGCATGACACTAAAAATAGGCAAGTTTTAGAACTGCTTAAACAAGCAGACACCACAGAAGATTTACACTGATAGCATGAGAATGAAAATGAGCATTTGGAAGAAATCTTTACCTTTACCACACAGCGATGCAGACTCCCCATTTTAAGAAGTTTGTCATGAACAGGACTAAAATTCTCAGTTGCACATACTGAACTTGCTTGAACAACTGGTGTAAGAGTGTATCTTGATAACAAATTACCTTCAAACAAATGGAAGGGATGATATCATTAGTGACATGATATAGCCAATCTCTCTAGTTTACAACAGAAGTATATTCTTTGCCCTCAGATTATCAAATTGAACAGTAAGGCTGTTCAGTAAAAATTTAAACTTTATTTAGACAATTTTCAAGTCAGATTTCTTCTCAATTCCATGATCAAATTCCAGGATTAATGCAAATAATTAATGAACATAAAAGATTCCTCATCCATAAATCAGTAAATCCCATATCAGTTCAACAGTCAGCAAACTTACCAGTTGCCACTGCCTATAATTTTTTCTTCTCTTTGTTCTATGGAGAGTCCGACTTCATGGGAAAAGTTGATGCTGTAATAACTGAACAACAGTTGACTCAAATTGTAGCTAATCTGTTGTTAATCATGAGCTCAAAACCCATTTAATGCTCATCAATCATGACACTGGAAATACCCGTGATTGGATCACACAACTGTGGCTTAATGCATATGATATCATAAATGCGTCAGGTAAATTTAGAATTATAAGAAGGCATGGCCATCTGGACAGCTTAGGTATCCTTGAAGCTGCAAAACTCATACTTAAAAATGTGGGAATCTGATGCCATAAACTGATGTTTTCATACTACATTCTCAGCCCTTAACCAAAGATACTGACAAATGGTTTGGCAAGAAATCAATAACACCAGGGATACACAGGTTTCCAATAGCAGAAGTTTAGAAAAATGACAAATAGATCTTCAACATGATCCCAGCTGGAGCTTCATAATCAGAGCTACATATTAGCTCTATGAAGAATCCCCTCAAACTAAAATTTGGGATTTCCATAAAAGAAAGCAAGTGTCAAGGATGCAATGGTTAGCTGGAAAGTGGTGAGCATCACCTCCAGTATCATTTATTGGTCATCTACATAAAAAAGTTTAAGATACACCTTCATCAGGAAACAAAGCACCATCACTGAGGGGTACATACCCAGCATCCTTCATATGATCTACCAGTTTGACAATCACTTCAGATATTTCTTCTATCTGAGAATGGCCCTTGTCTTTCGCCACAAACTCATGTTGTACATTCCTCACCTCAATCCAACTATAAGCAGCTTCTTTACTTAGACCTCTCTCCTCCATGAGCCTTCTCACTGCTTTAGCATCATCCCATCTTCTAGCTGCAGCATAGACATTTGATAACATTACATATCTGGCAGCATTTCGTGGTTCCAGTTCAAATAGAGCCTCTGCTGCCCTCCTAGCAAGACCTAAGTTCCCATGGACACGACAAGCACCCAAAATAGCGCCCCACATGCAAACATGATTTGGTCCATTAGGAGTTCTCTCAATCATACTCATTGCCTCCTCAAGCCTGTTTTTCCTTCCAAGCAAATCACTCAAGATTGCATAATGATCAGACCTAGGGATTACACCAAAATCCTTTTCCATCAAGTCTAAAATCCTCAATCCTTCGGACACTAGACCTGTGTGATTACAAGCAGATAATGCCCCAAGAAATGTTACATGATTGGGTTTTATGTTTGCTTTTATCATCATTTTGAACACATCAAGTGATTCCTCTCCATGCCCATTCTGAGCAAGCCCAGTTATTAATGAGTTCCATGAGACAACATCCTTCTTACTTATCCTTGCAAACAATAATTTAGCTGAATTCATGTCTCCACACTTGCAGTACATGTCAATTAAAGCATTAAAAACAAACTCATTTAATGAATCACATCTACTGCTAACTCTAACTATGTGTCCATGGATCTGTTTACCTATTTCAATTCGTGCTAAATCCGCACAAGCACTTAAAACACAAACAAATGTATAAGCATTAGGCTGCACTCTTTCCTCCAACATCTGCCAAAAAAGATTCAATGCTTCATTTCCACGCCCATTTTGTGCAAACCCTGTGATTAAACCAGTCCAAGATACTGTATTTTTAACCGGCATTTCATTAAATAAACGATGAGCATCCTCCAACCTAGACACTTTAGCATAAGCAACCACCATAGAAGTCCATGAAACAACATCCCTTTCACTCATTCGACAAAAAATCCTATAAGCACTATTCACCTCCCCACACTTCCCGTAGGCATCAATCAAAGCATTGTAAACAATCAAATCCAACTCCAAACCAAAAACTATCATAAAACCATGCACTTGACACAACAATTTCAATGCACCTAAGCAAGCACAGGCACCAACAATACTAACAACCGTATAGCGATCAATAACCAAATGATCACATTCATTTAGCATTTTCTTAAAGATATTTATTGATTCTTTGAAAAATCCATATTGGGAAAACCCAGAAATCAATGAATTGTAACTAACAAGATTTCTGTTCGGCATTTGATCAAACAAGTTACGAGCTCTATCAAAGTGACCATGTTGTAAATACCCACAAAGAAGCATATTCCAAGAATGGCTGTTTTTCACATGAAGTTCATCAAAGGCCTTTTGGGCACTTTTTATTTCATTGAACTTTGAGTACATGGCTATAAGATGGTTGGTTATAAAGGAATTAAAGGTTAAAGCTTTTTTGATAAAATGTGAGTGTAAAAGTAAGCCTAGTTTCAAGTTCTTGTTTTTAATGGATTTTGAGATGAGAAATGTGTAATAATCAAAACCCAAATCTTCTTTCATTCTTTTTTTTTTTCTTTTCTTGTTTTTGGGGTTTCTCTAGTTGCTGAAATTCATGATAATATTGAAAAGTATATTTATAGCTTAAATTTTTAAAAAGGTCAAGGCCAAAGCTTACAGTTAAAGAGCTGATGAAGCCCATTGTTGAACAGCTTTTTCTCCACTGAAAAATTATTGCCTGCAAAACTTAGCATTTTTGCCTCGTGTTTCTGTAAAAGTGTAAAATGGTGAGGAAAATTGTACGTGCTTCGTTTAACACAGGTTTTGGAGATAACGTGATAAAATTGTAGGGGAATTACACATTGGGGGCGGAGGAGCCAAAATAATAATGGGTTAGTGCCATGGCCAAAAATATTTACAAGGAAATGTCAAATTGCAAAAGGTCAAATACACGTATCCTTCAACTTTTGATTGAAATTATATGATTTATCAGTTTTTAAAATAAATATTTTATTTTTAAAAAATATCTTTCATTAAATATATAAATTTAACTGTTAATCAGTTATTGATATTTTTATTAATTTAATAACATAATAATATTAAAAAAATAATTTTATTTTTTATTAATTTTAAAAATAATCAAATTATAATTTTTTTTTTATAAAAAAAAACCTCCTGTTAATTGGTTATCCTGTAATCGAATTTGATAGAAAAGTGCTAGATTTGGTCAGAGAGCACAGATTTGGGAGCCCCAAACTATGATCTGGTGTTACCCATATCTGGTTTTTGTTTTAAGTGATCCATTGAAGTAAAGAAGCATCATTGCCCAATCGGAATAAAAGAAAAAGAGTGAAAAAATAAGAAAAGTATTTTAAACATTTCACACCTAATATTAATGTTGTTTACACTTTTAATGTAAAATATTCGTTTTAAAAATTAATAAGTTTATGTATAATTATGATCAAAAATTAAGAAGAATTATGTATTTTACTTGATTGTCAAATTGGTAAAGAGGATTTGCTTTTACTATCATGACCTTAATGACTAATGGGCGTAAAAACAAACTACCTCAAACTGTTTCCTGCCATTTTCCCTCTCATTCCAACTGGTATGTTTTCATCAATTTTTTATTTTTTATTTTTGTTGATTATACATATTGTCTAGCACTTTGATAAAAGAAAATACAGGAGTTTGGATGGACAGATTCGGGAGGCTTTTGTTTTTACACCCATTAGTCATTAGGGTCACACTGGTAGGAGTGAGCGGCAAGTTGGTTACAACTGACCCATCGGTTAGTGTCAACACTGATTGGCCATCATGGTCCGATTGATCGACGTCGATTATGTCATCGATTTTGGGTGAGGGTTAATTCAAAGGATCAAGTTGGTGTCTGAGGTAAGAAATTTCTCATCGAATTGAATCAAAAAATTTGATGTTCATTTTTTTAATGGTCAAACTATTTAGAAAGTTCTTATATTATAATATTTTCTTTAATTTAGCTTTTTTAAAAAAAATTTGATAAATTTAATCCTTATATTTTGATATTATATACTTTTAAATATTTATGAGTAACTTTGTTCAAATTGAACGCTTAACTATGTTAACATGTCAAATGATCCTAAATTGGCATCGATATGTCTCACAGGAAAATTGATATATGCCCCACATTAAAAGGACCAAATAACAACAAATAGTAGAGTACATGAATTAAATTGAATAAAACTTTATAATATAGGGACTTTTTTGATACTTTTACTATTTTTTTATTTTACTTACATATGGGAATGTTGGTTTGTTGTATAAGTTGAAATGGTGTATGAAGTGTACAGAAATCTCGAAACACTATAGTTAAATGTAATTTTTTTTTATAATACGAAATAGTGTCGTTGAATACAATTTTTACTTGTAATATGGAACTCTAGTATCTTTTGTTTTGTTAATTTATTATGTAATTCAAGAAAGAATATATTTTGAAATGACATCATTGTATTAACTTCTCATTTGTATTAGGAAATAAAAATGTAACAATTTGATTGATGTTCAAATACAAACCAATTACACTTCATTCTCAAGAATTAACTCAAAAAAAGTAAAATCTAGTTTAATTTCTTAATTACTAATTGCATTGTGTTGATTTGATGTTGTTGCCTTAGTTTGGCAATCAAATAATTGAATGTGTTGATATTGCCAAAATAAACTACACAAAAGAAGCAAGGAAGTAAATCGAAGTCATTAGCTACTAATTCGCTAGATGGTGCATTAGTTTTAACTCAACAAAGCATCAAAAAGGTCTAATGATCTGCTATGTGGTTGATTTTATTGTCCTGCTATTATTTTGATTGTTGTTATTTTGTTGGAGCTGGTGAAAGGTTTTGGGACAAGGACAAATAAATGGATCTTGCAATTCTTTTTGTAACAAAAGGTTATGTTTTTGTAATGAAGAAATTAAACTAGATGTCATATTTTTTAAGTTAATTCTCAAGAATGCAATAATGCAGTGTAATTGGTTTGCGCTTGAACACGAATCAAATTATTACATTTTTTATTTTCCAATACAAATGGGAAGTTAATAAATGATCTCATTTCATGATATATATTTTCTTGGATTTGCATAAATAGATCAACAAAATAAAAGATAACAAGGTTTCATATTACAAACAGAAATTGCATTCAACTATAATGTTTCATCTTATAAACAAAAATTGCATTCAACTACAATGTTTCAAGATTTCCATACACTATTTCAGCCTATAAGGAGGGTCAGTATTCCCGTACGTAATGTGAAACAAAAAATGGTAAAAGTACTGAGGAAGTCCCTGTATTAAAGAGTTATGTTCAATTTAATCCTTGCATTCTACTATTTGGTGTAATTTGGTTCTTATAATGTGGTGAAAATTTTTCTCAATTTTTTTTGTTTGACACATCAATGCCATATTAGCATAGTAAACGGTTAATTTGGATGGAGTATAAAGACCCAATTACACACAATGTCAAGATACGTAGACTAAATTGACTAATTTTCAAATAGAGAGATTAAATTGAAGAAAAAGCTATAGTACAATGACTTCTCGGGTAGTTTAACCTTTTCTATAATCTACTATATAGAGGGGAAAGTGCTCTTACACACCAACTGTTGCCCTGATTGCCGACTACCTAAAACCCTAAGCCAACCAAAACTTTGAACCCTTTGTAAATAAAAAATAAAAAAAATCCTTCTGTTGCTCTCCGTCTCTCCCCACCAACTGTTGGGAACAATTGATCGAAACTGGTCGACTATGATCAGTTTCAGCTGTCTTAATTTTTTGCAAACTCGTCGGACGATGCCAATTGCTGCACAAATATTGGCAATTTTGGAGCAATCCAACCAAAATTGATCTATAATAGACCGACGCTTAGTTGTACACTATAGTAATCCTGAGGAATATATTTGGTCTTGGTACTAAACCATTATTATTCTCATTCCACAGCCGTAATTTGTAGTACGTTACCCTAAAATTTTATGGAATTTTTCTGATTTATATCTTTGATCCTCAGTTTCTGGTATTCACTTGGTTGCCGGTCTTTCCCTTTTTGTATTTTGATTGAGGTTTTTACTAAATAGTTGTCATCATTATCTATTAATTAACGTACTATTTTAAAATTAATTTTTAATCAAACCACATATTGTTATCAAATTCAAGAATTATAAAAAATTTTTACTAAATAAAGTACGTAATTACCCGTTAAAATTGTTTGTTTTTGTTGGTTTTGGAAGAAACATATATCACTATCACGCATTAACATCCCAAGCTATTTTAATTTAAAAAAAATTATTTTGTCATAAATAGCAATAGAGAGTTTTCTCGCTGGATTTGGAAAACATTTGATTGTTGTGAGACATTAAATGCATTATAATACCAAATTACCAATTTGTAGTTTCGGAAAATAAAACTATAAATCAGTTTTGATAGGAAGGAACATAATTAAAAGAATTATACTATATATTTCATTAATTAATACATTTATTTGATAGTATTTAATTTTTCTGGTGAACCAAACAGTGTCAAAGAACAAAAACTGAGGATGTGCCCATTGAACCAAATGCTGTTTCATCAGTTGAAGAAAATGGCTCTAACAACTCTCTAAAAAAACTCAGAAGTCTGTTACTTTGGTTCGACCAAACACAAGCACCCACCCGAAATCTTCTCTTTGCCTCCCCTTTTTAGCTTTGCAACATCGCCACGGCCACGCCCACCAACTCGATCTGACACAATTCTTTTCGTTGTTTTGCCTACATTAATTCTTGAATCTCTTTACGTTTGGACCCCAGTTTTTGGAAGTGATAGATTGAAGATACCAAGAAAGTTTCCAACATTTCAAGTGAGTTTTGATACCTTCGTGTTCATGTTTTATGCATGATCATGTTTCTTTCATCATTACATGCAGCTTGTACGTTCCTTTAAGTTTCGCCCTTAATTATTTTTTTATATAGGAAAAAATAAGACTAATGCCTGCTTTTTTTTTTAAATTCATTTTGTACCTCAGTTGAATTCCAATTGTGATTCATCATGCTGAGTCATTGATAGAAGTTGGTCGTCTACTCATAGAGTTGAAGCAATGGAGGATAAACAGGGGGATGGAAGCAGCAAGCATTTAACAGACGTTGAAGTTAATAATTATGAAGTTCACACTATTTCAAGGCATGGAAGTTCAGTCTCTTCTTCCTCATCAGATTCCTCTCAGGACCTTATTAATGTTGTTGAAAATGATGGTAATGACAAACCCTTTGAGAAATCTGAACAACCTGGACCTGAGTCACCCGCACCTTTTCGTGTTTCATTTGTTAGTTCAACTGAGCAGTCCCCTCAAAATCAAGCGCCTGCAAGGCCAGTTCCTGGAGGCTATGAACCAAATCGGATACCATCATCCATTTTTAGTAATAGGCCTGCAACACCAATGGATTGGAGCATTGCTTCAAATGAATCACTGTTTAGCATTCATGTTGGAAATAACAGCTTCTCAAAGGATCAATTTTTTATGTTATATAAGTCGGGAGAATTGACCAAGTTTGATGAGCAGATCATTGCTCAAGGTGGCCTGCCTCCTGTGAATAAATTAGAGAACATGACTACAATGAATGAAAACATAGAGAAAGATTCAGCAGCAACAGAAATGCCAGAGAATACAACAATGGTGGTGGATGCCAGTGAAGTTGCAGAAGATCATAGCCACCAAAAGATCTCTCCTGCTGAGGAGATCCATAAACCAATTATCAATACCACAATAGAGGATCTTGGTGCAGTTGCTGAAAATCATAGCCAGGAAAATAAATTTCCAGCAGAAGTCCATAATTCACCTACCAATAGTATCTCTGCCCGTTCTGATGGGAGCAATAATAGCACTCTTTCCTTTGCCTTCCCTGTGTAAGTCGCAATTAATCTTCTTTTAATCTCATATACATGTGATTCTTGTGCTACATACACCATTATCGGCTAGATTTGCTTGCTTGTCCCCTTGTTAAAAAGTCTAACCACAAAAAAATAGGTCCACTTTTCTGACTTTCTGCTGGAATGTCTAGTGACCATGTTTCATGATTCATCCATATCTACCATATTCTGATCACCAGCATTCTTCTTATGTGTAAATCATATTTCAGTCTAGAAAATCTATTTTCTCTATTTAAAATGATTTGGCTAATGATTACATACAGTAATTGATTGTTACTAACAATGCTCTCTAGCCACCAAATGATTGAACTAATTTGTTTTGGTTCATTTCAGGTTGGGAAGTGATGTTGGAAGAAGTAGCTCTGTGAATGGGGAACAAAATAACAAGGGATTACAGACACAGTCAGTAAAGCAGCCGCAGAGGCCATCAACAGAGGAAGTGCAACCACAAACTCCTCTCACACCCCAAAATACTGCCGGTCGCAGTTGGTTTTCTTGGTTCTATTGTTGCCGCTCGTCTTGAATTTCAATAAGGTTTGTGTAACAATCGTTACATTGCTCCCCTTCATTACAAGAGTCTGCCTACCCCCTCTTACAGAAGTGGACATTCTCTACTTACAAGCATGCTAATTCTTCCCTCATGGCGAAAACTCATTGAGTCTAGTTAACAATGTTGGTCCAATTTGTACAGTTTGTTTTGTATTCTGTTGCTTCACTCCTGTTGTCAGATTACAGCATATATAAGTTGCTTTGCAGTGTTGAATAAACAAAAAAATGTGTTGAGACAGAAGAGCAAGAAAGAAAAGGATAACCATGTTCAGAGATTTATCTGATATTAATCATCAAAGGTTCCAAATTGGATGGTATCTGAACACCAATATTTCTGTTCATTTCTAATTAGCTGAAACAGCTTATGATTTCTGAATCCATTGCATGTTCTCTGTTTATTTCTGTAAAAATATATATATATATATATATATGCTTTCATAGAGAAAAATAAACAATATATTTATATGCAACATATGGAGACAATGTTACAATGTTTTACATATCTCAATATCCGTGTATTGTTTATTGAACTGGCTAACTACTTTAACTGCTTTAGATTTAATAGGAAAAATTGTATGTACCAACTAAGTTGGTAAAATACGGCACATAATTGGATGGTGGTGGAATTAATATGATACCACACTATCTATTTTTTTTTTAAAGTATATATCTAATAAATGAAAGTAAGCTCTCCTTTACCAGAAAGTTTTATTACCAAAGAAAAAATTTGTACTTCTCTCTATTTAATCAGCGGTAAAAGGGAAAAGCATTCAGAATCCGAGCAATTTATGGAAGCTCATTTAAAACAAGCTGGAGGTTTTAACTTAATCCTTTTCTTCATGAAAAATATGGTACAGGGTTGATCATTGAAGATTAATGTATATACTATAAGTAGAGGTGGTAAAACCAAGTTCCAAAACCAATTCTAAAAAACCCAAACCAAATTTATAAAATCTCCAACACTTGAATCCAAACCAACTCAGAACTCAAACAATTTGAACATGAACAAAATTGAATTCAAAATGATCATCACCTGAAATAATCGGAATTCAGTACAATTTGAATCCGAAAAAGATTATTCAAAATGATCGAAACTCAAATTTGTCCGTTTGTCACTTACAAATATAAGCTTTAAATAGCTTGAAAAATCTAATTAGATTTGCATAAAAGAATTTGAGATGTGCAATTCCTTGCTCACATGGCACAACTTAAAAAGAAAAAAAAAAACACTGAATTCATGCTCTCACTCTTTAAATGATTAAGCATAATAGTGTTAGTGTCCAAAATTTCCTATAACCTATTAGGATATTATTATAATTAATATAGTATAAAGCACCAACTTAAAAACTTGAATTAACAATAGTATAATGTTATCATTTAATTAAAAAATAAAGACAAGGAAAGCACGTATTAGCTAGGTACAGTAAAGAAGGTTGATGAGATCAGTATTTGATCAGCTTAATGTAAGATTGAAATAAGCTTAATGTAATTGCACGAGACAGAAAATGGAAATCCGGAGGAGACAACAAGTTTGCTTGTTTTTATGGGCGTGGACTTCAATGAGGTTAATTATGTTAACATGGAAAATGTTTACTTTAATGGAAAGCTTGCTTTTATGTTAACCCAAAACGAGGGATTTGCATGCCTCTTAGCTGCTAAGTGTCCAATAAGAAAGTAATCATGTTTCCTTTTTCCACGGAAAAGTACATCCAACAAATACGATTCTTGCCTACACACTTAATATATTATCAAGGTATAGTATTTTAAAATTTTTTAAATTAAATTAAATAAATCTTTATGATTAATCATTAATTAATTATCTATTAGTTAAATGCTACTTAATTTTTTTTATGTTACGTTGTGCACGTATAATGATGAAGTGAAAGGAGAAAATATTAGGATAAAATCCAAAAAGCTTTCTTAAAAACACTTCAAAAGGATAATTTTTTTGTTTTAAAATGATATTTTTAACCCGTTAATTATTAACACCATTAGTCAATAGTTAAAAAAAATTTAGACTTAATACTATATAAATATTTTAATGCCTAAATCTCCTTATATTATTTTTTTAGTACTCATTATTCTCTCAAAAACCTTAATGAAAAAACTTAAAAAATTTTGTTTTGAAAGCTTCAAAATTTGAAGTTGCATCTGCTTTAAAAATTGTAAACTTTTTTCTCGAAGTAAAATCTATTATCATCAAATTTTTTATCTTTCTAATAGTTTGAGAAATATTTTTTTTTCATTGAAAGAATATATTAAAAGTAAATCTTTTATTTAATGATAGATATTTCAAATTTGACAATATCAGGTCAAGAGATTAATTTCTTACTCATAATTATTAATTTTGTTGAAAAATTTTTACTCAAAAATTGTTCTTTGAAACTAAGGTTTAGGGTGATGTAAAAAGATTTTGAGTTATTGAAAGTTTTGAGTTTTTTCTTCTTTGTCGAATATTAAATTTTATTAGACAAATTACTGAATTTACAAATTTCATTTTAAAATTTTATTAAGTTTTAAGTTTTCTTTTACTTTGTCAAATATTGAATTTTATTACATATCAAAGTGAATTTTATTAAGTTTTGGAAGGGAACATAAGGAAATTTTTACTAAAAGGGCATTTGTATTCTAAAATATTTATATAGTATTAGATATAATTTTTTTAAGTGTTGACCAACGGTATTAATAGTTAAAGGATAAAAAAATATCATTTCAAAATAAAAAAAGATCAAAGTGTACTTTTTATGTATTTTGAAAATTTTTTTAAATTTTATTTGAAATTATTATATGATCATATCATCATTTCATATTAACGTGTTGTATTAGTATTTTTAATATTATGCCAATATATTACCTCAATACTACTTAACATAAAAATGACATGTAAGGTTATAGATAATTAATTAATTGTTAGTCATAAAAATTTATTTAATTTAAAAAATAAAAATATAAAAATTTAATTAAATATAATAAAAAATATATATTAAATTTTTTAAATAATTAAAATTTTTAAAAAAATTATATTATGCTTTTTATGAAACGGAGTTTTAAGAATATAAAACAAAAAGCACTTTGCATTTACTGATTTCATTCATTGATTTAAAAGCCCTTAAAACCAAAATATTCCATAGGCTTTTTGTGGGGGACCGCTACTGATCTGGACCTCATAAACCCTATAAAATTAAATGAAAATCCCAAAAAGGTTTTTTAAAGCCCCCACAAAAAAAAAATTGGGCCCCACCTTAGCTTCTGGAATGGTGCCCCACGTGGAATCCTTTATCCAATTCCACGTGTGAAATCTAAAGTTTTAAAGCATGTATTTTTAACCCTATCAGATCAAAGAAATAAATGAGAGGCGAAAGTCCTAACTACCATTAAGCCCTTGAATTGACGGTGCTGATGCATTTATTGACCGGTTTGTGGGACAGCATCACCCGCTTCCTGCGTAATGATATGTTGAGTGGACCCCATGTTTCTTACTCTTAAAAACGGCAACCGTAAATGTCCCAACCTATTTTTAAAAGGAAGGAAAAAAATTTTATTAGAAAAAGACAAGAGAGTTGGAAATTCCAAAAAAAAAAAAAAGAAAATTCGTTACAAGTATTTTGTAACAAACCATAAACTTTTTGTTCTATTTCGAAAAGGCCCATAAAACAGGTCAACTTCCTTGTGCCAGAAGAGGAGATTTATGAATCCAAATGAAATTATCCTTCACTTCATATCATATAACACAAGATGTAATGTAAACTTTAATTACATATTAAAAAGAATAGTTTGCATATTATTCATTATCCGGATACATATATATAGTTTTAAAATTTTATTTGTTGATAATTTATTTTGTGAATTAAAAAAATTTAAATTATGTTAGATTAGATGAGTAGAATTGTATTCTACTAAAAGAAATAAAGAATAGATGAAATGGAAGGGTTTTTTTTTTTGGGTCTTTCTTTTGAGCAATAAAACGAAGGGTTTACCTTACCTACCATATGTTGTACCACCAAGCACATGTAGGCTAACAAGAAAATATTAACACTATTTTCACACTAGAGATGGTTACATTATTTGGGTTGTTGATTAATCAATTTCCTTTTTTTCTAAAAAAAAATGGTGAAAAAAGATGTGATTAAATTAAATAAAGAAAGTCATTAAAGCAACTTTAGGGTGCCTACTTACACTGCGGTTTGCAAATATACCAAAATTCTCCGTACGAAATGCCAATCAAATCAAATTTGAAATGTACTCGTTAAGATCAGCCCTGGAATATGTATGTCTTGAAAATGGAAATAGCAATATATATACCATAAGAGGTAGTAAAAGCCGATCAATCAGGACTCAATTAAAAATATAGGTTAAACATTCCGGAGATTCTCATAAATAAACGAAACTTTCCATACCTTTTCCGTAATTTCCCCATAAACCGAAACAGAGAGAAAGTTCTAAAAAACAAAAAACAGAGAAAGACGAAAGAAGAACAAAAAGGGAAGTAAAACGCGTCTTTCATTGTTGAATTCTCTCTCTCATTTTATTTCTTTTTTTTTCCTCCCTCTCCCTCCTTCTCCGAACAGCCTAAAATTTAGGGTTAGGGTTTACAAAGAAAAAAACCCCAAACCAGAATAAAGAAGAAGAAAAACCCAGATTTGCAATCTTCAAATTCTGATAGAAGGAACCAAAAAGGAAGTGTTTCTAGAGTACCCTTTGAAAGGGGTATCCAAAAGAATGGGTTCTTTTTCAGCTTCAGTTGTCAAGTGGCAGCCATTTTTCTTACTCTTCTTCTATGTATTAAACTGTGTCGTTTTGGGTGATAATTCTTCAGACAAAGCTGTTCTTCTTGAGTTTAAGAAGTCTGTCTCCGATCCTTCAGGGCTTTTGTCTACTTGGACTGACACTTCCCATCACTGTTCATGGTCTGGTGTTTCATGTGACAACAACTCCAGTGTTTTGTCTCTTAACATAACTGGTTTTGGAAAAGGGCAAAAAGGTAATTTCAACAATACAGATGCTTCTGTTTCGTTTTCTTGTTCTGATTATAGTTTGTTTCCATTTTATGGATTTGGTATTCGAAGGAATTGTGCGGGAAGTAATGGGAGTTTGTTTGGAAAGTTGTTACCTTCGATTGGAAAATTGAGTGAACTTAGAATTCTCTCACTTCCTTTTAATGGATTTGGAGGTGAAATTCCTACTGAAATTTGGGGTTTGGAAAACTTGGAGGTGCTTGATTTAGAGAACAATTTGTTATCTGGGTCATTGCCTGCTGGCGTTTCTGAGTTAAAGAATTTGCGAGTTCTTAATTTGGGTTTTAATAATATAAGTGGAGAGATACCAAGTTGGCTTTCGAGTTTGGAACAAATGGAGATACTGAATTTGGCCGGTAATCTTGTGAATGGAACCATTCCTGGATTTGTTGGAAGGTTTAGAGGTGTTTACTTGTCATTTACGTGGCTTGGTGGTTCACTGCCAGCTGATATTGGTGAAGGTTGTAAGCTTGAGCATTTGGATTTGTCGGGGAATTACTTAGTTGGCCAGATACCTGCTAGTTTGGGGAAGTGTAGTCAGTTGAGGTCGTTGTTGTTGTATACAAATTTGTTGGAAGAAGGGATTCCGCGTGAAATTGGCCAGCTTCAGAATCTTGAAGTGTTGGATGTTTCGAGGAATAGTTTGAGTGGTCCAATACCTGTTGAGATTGGGAATTGTTCTGGATTGACTGTGCTTGTGCTTTCAAATATGTTCAATCCGTATGATGATCTTGCTATGGCTAAAGGGGATCCAAGTTCTGTAAATGATGATTTTAATTTTTATCAAGGTGGAATTCCTGATGAAATTACAAAGCTTTTGAAGCTGAGGGTATTATGGGCTCCAAGGGCAACACTTGAGGGCAACTTGCCAAGTGATTGGGGCGCTTGTGATAACTTGGAGATGGTAAATTTGGCTCAGAATTTTTTTGCAGGGGAAATTCCTATTGGTCTTAGTCTCTGCAAGAAGCTGCGGTACCTTGACTTAAGCTCAAATAAGCGCCTTACTGGAGAGCTTAGTGAGGAACTTGCAGTTCCTTGTATGAGTGTGTTTGACATTAGTGAAAATTCCTTGTCAGGTTCAATCCCTAGATTCTACAACCGTGGATGCCCTGATGTTCTTACCTCAGATTCGTATTCCTTTGAACCCTTCAACCCAACATCTGCATATTTATCATTTTTGGCAAGTAAAACTCAGGTTGGAACATCTATTGAATTTTTTGGAGGAGATGCGGCTCCTGCTGTGTTTCATAACTTTGGAGGTAACAACTTTACTGGCAGTGTTTTGTCAATGCCAATCGTACCGCGAAGACAAGGGAAACAGATTTCTTATGCATTTTATGCTGGAGAAAACTTACTCACTGGACCATTTCCTGGGAACTTGTTTGAAAACTGCAACACATTGGATGCACTGTTTGTTAATATTAGCTACAACAGAATGTCTGGTCAGATTCCAGCTGAAATCAGTAAGATTTGCAGGTCTCTCAAATTTCTGGATGTTTCTGCGAATGAAATAACTGGGCCCATTCCCCCTAGCGTTGGAGACTTGGTTTCACTTGTTTCTCTTAATTTGAGCTCAAACCTTTTACAAGACCAGATTCCAAGCAGCTTTGGGCAGTTGAAGGATCTCAGGTATATTTCTTTGGCTGGTAACAATCTGACTGGATCTATTCCTTCCAGCTTTGGGCTACTGCAATCTTTAGAAGTGCTGGACCTGTCTTCAAATTCTCTTTCTGGTGAAATTCCTGAAGGTCTGGTCAATTTGAGAAACCTGGCTGTTCTTCTGCTCAATAACAACAAACTTTCTGGGCAAATTCCCTCTGGTTTGGCAAATGTGACCATGCTCTCTGCGTTCAATGTGTCCTTCAATAACTTGTCTGGGCCATTGCCATCAAGTAATAATTTGATGAAATGCAGCAGTCTTCTTGGAAACCCTCTTCTACAGCCTTGCCATGCGTACTCCTTAATGCCATCTTCAGATCAAGCAAGAGCTGGTGATTCACAAAATTATGCTGCATCACCACCAGGATCTGCAGCCCAAAGGACTGGAAATAATGGTTTTAACTCGATCGAGATAGCATCAATAACATCTGCTTCAGCCATTCTTTCTGTTCTTCTAGCACTTGTTATCTTATTCCTCCACACCAGGAAGTGGAATTCAAAATCCAAAATTATCAGCACCACAAAAAAAGAAGTAACAATTTTCTCAGACATTGGGGTCCCATTGACATTTGACAGTGTTGTGCGGGCCACAGGGAATTTCAAGGCTAGCAACTGTATTGGGAATGGAGGTTATGGGTCAACTTATAAAGCCGAGATCCCTCCTGGAGTTTTAGTGGCAATAAAGCGGCTGGCAATTGGCCGGTTGCAAGGTTTTCAACACTTTGATGCCGAAATAAAAATTCTTGGGAGGTTGCGCCACCCAAATCTTGTTACTTTAATTGGTTATCATGCCAGTGAAACGGAGACATTCCTTGTATACAATTATTTGCCAGGTGGTAACTTGGAGAAGTTTATTCAGGAGAGGTCCACTAGAGCTGTGGACTGGAGGGTACTTTACAAAATTGCTTTGGACATAGCCCGTGCTCTAGCCTACCTACATGATGAATGTGTCCCCCGAATTCTCCATCGTGACGTCAAGCCCAGTAATATCCTGTTGGATGATGAGTATACTGCTTATTTATCAGACTTTGGTTTGGCCAGACTTTTGGGAACTTCAGAAACCCATGCTACCACAGGTGTACATGGAACTTTTGGGTATGTTGCTCCGGAGTATGCAATGACTTGCCGTGTATCTGATAAGGCTGATGTTTACAGTTATGGGGTGGTGCTTCTTGAGTTGCTCTCAGATAAGAAAGCCTTAGATCCCTCGTTTTCTCCGTATGGAAATGGTTTCAACATTGTTCAATGGTCTTCCATGCTATTGCGACAAGGCCAGGCCAAGGAGTTCTTCACTGCAGGGTTATGGGATGCAGGTCCCCAGGATGACTTGGTAGAAGTTCTACACTTGGCAGTTGTGTGTACTGTTGATTCTCTTTCTACCAGACCCACAATGAAACAAGTTGTAAGACGGCTGAAGCAGCTTCAGCCACCATCATGTTAGTAGCCTGATAAAGCTTCTGTTGATTAACATAGTAATTGTAGGAGGGTAGCCCCCTACGCTTGGCCATTGTTGCGGGCTGGCCTCAGGTAGAGTTCTAAGCTGTAGTTATTTCCACTTGTAAATTGTAATACAGTTTTGCCCCTAATTTTCTGATGCTATTTCTCGGATAGGGGTTTACTGCTGACTCTGCAGAAGAATGCAGATATTTTTTTTTATCCAAGTTGTACACGTGTATCTGAGTTTTCATGTGATGTCTAATAAAACAATAGAATAGTTTTCCTGCCTATTTTTAGTTTAATCTATTTGAAGCATCCTTTCTGCAAATCTACAAGGCAAGTGGTGCTGAACAGGGTGGGAGACTATTGGCTGGAAAATTTCCATTATGAGCAAGTGTTAGCATCTTAGAAATTCAAAGTTGCCCTTCTCAAGTAATGTGGCCTATCTAAAAACTAAAATGAGATGTCTAGTCCGGTTTACATGTTCTTTATGAAATCAATTGAAGACAGACAGACTCGCACCGCCATCAGCAATGAAAATTTCTCAAGCAGAACGATTGTTCCATTATTAACAGGATTGCAGAAGGCAACCTGATTCATTCTTAATTTTGTATCATGATTGAAGTACTAAGTGATATTATTCCGCTCCCAAAGCGCAAAATAGTAGGCCTTTTGCATCCGCAGACTATAGCATCGGAATGATCTGTGAGATAAGCAAGCAAACTTCTGATGCCTTACTGACCCAAGATTAAGAACGAAATCCCTGTTGCAAACATATTCCAGATAGAGAGATTATAGTGGATGATGCTATTCCATTAACCTATATATCTAATGAAGAATCCTGACACTGTTTTTGAAACTTATTTTATACTTTTCCAACAACAGTAATTGCCCCAAGCACGAAATGAGACAGATTTTTTCTCCCATTTCGTTTGTTTCCCGTGTCTTACGTTGGGTTTGATGGGCAAATTTTCTTTTTCATTTGCTTGTGGATGTATCAGTCGAGAGAACATGCCCAATTCCAATTCCTTGGAATGACCCGATGCAACGCAAAGGCTGAGAAGTGCTTGCTTTAAGCGAAAGCTGGGTAAATTTTCTTTTTCATTTGCTTGTGGATGTATCAGTCGAGAGAACATGCCCAATTCCAATTCCTTGTAATGACCCGATGCAACGCAAAGGCTGAGAAGTGCTTGCTTTAAGCGAAAGCTGGGTCTCTTACAGCTGAGATTCCAACGAGGCTATAGGGTCTCAGTTCCAGGATAGACTCCCGAATGCAATCACTACATTAAAAAGACTTTGAAACCCATCACCTTATTAAGACAAAACCCAGATATTTTATGGGAATATGAAGCTCGGGATTTGTTTTGTGAGAATTCTGTGTTACATAATGGCATCACGGCATAGTGCAACGAGATGGAGCAATCAAATTCAGCAGCACACCCATCACATCATTCCCATTTTCAGTTGTATTTCTGAGACACTCCTTTAAATGGTTGTTCCTTCAACTCGTGAATGGATTTGAAACATTCCATTTTTCTTTCTTCCTTTCAAAAAATTCAATTAATAATTTGGCAAAATCCATCCTCTTTCCATGGATGACTTTGCTCATTCTGATGTCCCATGAAGGAGATCCGAGGATTCCTTTCACTGAGCATGTGATGCTATTGGAAGCTTCAGATGTCTTGAGAAGAAAATGATGCATCCATCTTAATTTTCCAAAGCGAAGCTTCATTTACTTAACACGTTAATAATAGCCTAGTCCAGAATAAAAGAAAAGAGATTCTGAAATCAATAAAGCTGAAAATTCGTCAACCTTTTCTCTGCATTCCTCCTTTTCATGGATTTGCATTAGAAAAGGAACGAAGGGTTAACAACTATATGCTTTAGTGGGTGTGCTACATCACCGCCACCAGCATGCTTCACAAACTCGGCTGGGGAGAGGAAGCTGCCATGGCAAACGCACACTATTCTCACCTCCCACCTTCCTATATCTGTAAAGAAAGCCTCTATTCGTTTCCCATTGGGCCATCTCCTGTTGTTGACACACAAGGCATATCCTCCAAAATGTTTCCTCACCACTTCCTTAAACCTCTTTTCCACTACTGCTGGTTGACTAGGTTTATTCTCTGTCGCAACTCCAGCTAACTTTTCTGATTTCTCACTCAAGATTCTTCCAGGGATGATCATCGGTTTCTGCTCAGTTTCTGCTGCAGATTGCTCACTAGCAGGGCTTCTTGCTTCGGCACATTTGTTAGTTCCTGTAATTTAATGCAAGATACATATGAGCTCAAGCCAATGTAAGCTTAAGATAACAACCAAAAAGAACAAACTATGCCATGTTGTCACTACAAAGGGTCATATTGCCACTATACTTTCAAGATCATATCCTCAGTAAGCTTAAGGCATTGAAAAAGGTAACTAAAAGAAATAGTATCACTCATCAGCAATTTACTAGAGGTAGATGCATAGCATAAATAACCTGCTCCCTGCATTTCTCCCTCTTCATAGGCTCCATAGCACAGAAATACCAAAAATAATTTTCTAATGAGACGATCACATTTCATTCGGTCAACAAGAAAATATTGTTGACGGTATCCAGGGGCCTTTGCAGAAGAAATAAGCATTGAGCTACGATAATTGTGAATCATGCCTTCATTTCACAGAATATGAGAATCAGTTCTGATTCTCCAGTCTCACTCTTTCATGCCAAATTTCCTCTTTAAGCTATCAAAAAGTTCTAAGAAACCATGAATTTTAGTAATGAGGTCGAACCTGAGGAGGTAGACTAGGAATTGTAAATAATGCCTCCACTTCATGGAATATAGTTTGCATGACTTCATGCATTGAAAGTCAAAAGGTGATACAAACAAAGCCAGGTGCACTAAGTAGTTCCTTTATCACCTATACCATTATCCGAAACCACAACTTCCTTTTTGTTCAAACCTCAACATGAAGTCAATTTTTCACCTAAAGGGAAGGAAACATATCCTCTCGTAATATCCACAAACTTCAAACTCTAGCCTAAAGCTACAAACCCTTGTTTGCTAAAACTATGCATCAATATAAAGATAATAATAGAATACTACTACTTATTACATTATTTTTCACTTGGTTTTAATTTGAATCTCAGGACAATAGTACAATTAAGATTAATGTCCTAACCTCAATTTCCATTGTTTATCCTTGGATGGTAGGTAAAAACTAGGATTCCTTAGTCCAACTAGAGCACAACTATAACATAACAGTAACCCAAGATGATTAGTCACTAAAGGAGAAGAAGCAGCTAAAAGAAGCCTTTCAGGGATCACGGTTACAGATTCATTATCTGACTACCGGGCTAGCAACATCGACAATCAAAGGTCTTAAATAATATCAAAAACATTTTTTATTATTCAAAAAAGAGAAGAGATCCTCCACAAATCCAAGGACAAAAACCTAGGTCCCAGTAACTTCTAGGCTTTACATCATGTTTTGGCCGCAATCCATCTATATAAAGAGTCACAGATCACATGAACCACCAGCCAAGCCAAATGACTTACACCTAAATAAAATTTGGACATGTCACCTTAATCAAGCCTAAAAGAGGTAGTAAAATACTGAGAAGAAATACAAATCAACATGATTAAGAGTTTTCTAGCTTAAGATGTCAACTGAATCTCAGTTCTGCTGCCTTTTAACAATTAGAGGAAAGAAAAAAGGAAAGACAAAACAAATAATAGCCTGACCATTGTCAAGATCAAATAGCAAAAAATTTAGACATGAATATGAGTAAAACTGACATCAATCAAGGAGGAGGAATAAAGCATGAGTAAATTCACCCCCACACTTCCATACATATCATCAAAAAGAAGTTTTTATGAGGAATAAAACCGGGGCGTTGGTTTGTATTTTGGTACCTTGAGCTGATTGGCTATCAAGTTCTGATATCCCCGAGGAAACACTTCCTTGAGATCCGATTGAGCCCTGTGAAGCAGCTACTCCTTCACAAGGTCCTCTACTACCATTCACCCAACTAGCTCCATTACCAGCCTCTTCTCTCTTATCTTCTGCACAATTCTCTTCGCCAAAACCAGCTCTATTCCTATCCCTTACAGCTTTCAAATTCTTCTGTTTCTCTGATCTCTTTCTTTTAGCTTCCATTCTCCTTAGACTTTGCAGCTCCTTCCTTTTCCTCCACTCTTCCTCTGTCTCTGTAGGCAAGGAACATGTCCTCACAAGGGAACCACAAGCCATGGGGAACATAGAAGAAGAAGAAGATTCATTAGTGTCCTTTCTCGTTGAGTTGTTGATGAAATCTGGTATTGAAGATGATCTAGTGAGTTTTTTAGCTCTAGGGTCGACCCCAAAACGACCATTCAACGAAAGCCCCAAGCTCAACTCAATCTCTTCTTCTTCTTCACCATTTTCCTCTTCTACATGACTTTTGTGAGAAAAACGGTTGCTTGACGACATGAGCCTTTGAAGTAGATCTCTTGGAAGATTGGCCAGTTGCATGGAAATGTTTTGTTGGGTTTCTTTCTTTCCAATTTCCTCAGCTTTTGCCATTGAGAACAAACCAAATTTGAAAAAGAAAATCAAAGAAGATTTGATTAAATTTTATAAAACATGAAATTATAAGCATATAATCTTGACCCCCACACAAACCTCAGAGTTCCCATTTTTCTCTTTCATTCCAAAAACCAGAGAAAAAAGGACATAGAGAAAAGAGATTCTAAAGGAAAATGATGGAAAATGAAGAGCAAACGGAGGATGGAAAAGGAAGGGGAAAATAATTGGGGTGAATGACAAGAATGCCCTTGAAGAAAAATGGGAGTCATGCAAAGGATACACGTGGCAGACATGAAGAGCACCCCACAGAAAGGAGAAGACCCCACGTGTTCTTGTTTAAAAAGAACAAAAAAAAATAATAAGAAACAAAAAAAAAACCTCAGATTCCGAGGTGACTTCCAACTAGCTGTCGCCACGCCGTTGGTTCTTTAAACATGAGTCTGACGTTTTGCCTTATCCACGTGTCCTACTATGGTTGTGGAAGGCCAGTATTAATTGCCACGTGTCATTGGATAGAGGAGAAAAAATCTGTCCTTGCCTTATCTTCATTTACCTCTTGTCTTTCGTTTTTGACAAATTGCAGTTAAAGGTATAGCCGTATAGGGGTTTCACGTTTTTAACCCTTTAACTTTTTGATTTTTATTACACATTAATACTTCCATATACACACACGAAATAATGAGTAAATCATTTAGTGATTCTTAAAAAATAATTATCGTGAAAGCTTACAAAATTTTTATTAAGTGAATATATCTTTATTTTTTTAGATCTTTAAACTTTTAAAATCATTAATCTATGAAGTGAAAATTTACAATAAATGTTTGTAATAAAAGAAAATATTAAAAAGTGTTATACATATATATACACACAGATACGCACTTAATAATCATAAAAATATTTTTATAACAAATATAACCTCTTCTCTAAAAAGATATTTCTTAAAATAAAAATTTAATTAATCTTAACAATTGTTTAAAAATCCTCCATGAATTAGATCCACTACCCAATATTGCATGCATGAAACATAAATCTCATTTTATTTTTATTTTTTGTGTGTGCGCTTAACACATTAATGGTTAATTTTGCTGTAAACAAGGATCATTAGGTAGTTCTACTTGTAAAATTATGAAAAATATCCTTAAATGTGGAACTAGAAGAATGCTTTTTATAAATTGGGGCAATTCTACTCGTGTTGGTCAACAACTGCAAGGTGTATTAAACACACATCGGAGGGTTCTATCTGCACAAGACTCAAACCTACGCAGGACTTAATTGAATAAAACCTTTAATTTAATTTTTTTTTTTGCTAGTTTTATTCTCGCTCTAAAACTTAGGGCCTGGACCGTAGCGGATGATGAGATGCAAGAAAATGACACGTGGGAAGACAACCTCGGGATTCGTGTTCTTGCGTCTCTTCTCTCGAAGGTATTTTGTCTGAAACGTGTGTGTTCGTGATTACGTACGTAAGCAGGGAAACATAGTGATGGGCATCAAAATAACTTAGTAAAATGCCCTTTGAATCAACGAAAAATGAAGCGTAAATGGTTTTGTAAAAAATATTTCCACACACCTTTTGAGTTTGACAAGACATTTTCGGTATCAAAGATTTTTACGATCTTCCACCTCCACCATGTACAAATATAAAAAGGATGATAAATACACAACACTCACACCTCTAAATTATATATAATCTGCTCCTTTTCTGGTCAAAATTGGTGTCACTAATCATAGTCTCTAGGTGCATGTCATCGTCAATTAAAATAGGGAACCTTTTTTTTTTTTCTGGTTAATTAGTTTCTTTGAAGATACTATTTATAGCAAAATTTTATGTTATATTCAGTATTTAATGATTAATGCAATAATTTCCAATATGTTGTGTGAAGAAGCCCAAGTTTAATTACCACAATTACCAAAAGCCAGTCGTTACACACAATCAAGCAATTTCAGAATAAGCAATGTTAGAGGTTTGCTAAGCAACTTCTTGACAATCTTCATTGCTAATGGTCATGCATTGATTTTAACACTCCAACAACTAAGCTGACACCTATTAACAATGGATGCCAGCCATTGTCAAGTTAACAACTTTCTTTAAATGATGAACTACCGGATCTATATCATGAATCAAATCATTGTTGCTTCTACATACTCCAAAGTATACTACATCAACACTATATATAATAAAATGATCAAATAATTTTTTAATTAATAATTAATTAAAAAATGTTATTTAAATTTATTTAACTGTTTTAATTTTTTTAAAAATATTATTTTGTCTATATATATATTAACAAGAGATTTAACTCAATTAACAAATTGATCTAAAAGAACAATTGAGATATGTATGTATGTATGTTATGGTTGTGGATATTATTGTTAATATATTGAAAACCTTAAAATGACAGCAACACATGAAAGGGGGATGGCAGCGGAAGAATCTCCGTAGAACACGCAAAAAATCAAGAGAAGATCAGGGAGTGGGGCCCCGAAAGGGCCAAGTTGCACACTTTTTGCCCTTTATCTGAGATACAACTTTTGGGTTAGTGATCTGGGTCCGTGCCACGTGGCTCCAAGTGGTCATGGATACACGTGGCTAACTGCTGTTGCAGGGAAACAGCTAAGCAGGCTATCAAGTTGCAAAGAAAACAGGGCAACGTGTTGAGGAGTTGATTGGGAGGAAAAAGTCCTGATGTAATGCCTGTGTCGTACGGACGCGTCTTGTCAGAATTTAATTAATACTTTACTCTTTTATAAACTTGATGTGATAAAAAAAAAATGGGTCAAAATAGAGGAGCCAACGATGCATGTTTGTTACGAAAAGTTTTAGGTTAGATAAGAATATTGTATGGTAGAATAAGATGTGTTATATTTTATTATAGACGGATTATTCTGTAAGATTTATATTTGATGATTTATATTTGATGTATCGAGATCAGAGGTAAAATTAGTTAATTTTTGTTGAAGAAATAAAAAATTAAAAAAAATAAAATTTTTTAAAATTAATATATTAAATTTAACTATTAATAATTAAAAAGTTTATAATAAATAATAATTTTATATAACATAAAAAAATAAAAAAAACTTATAATAAATTTATAAAAAATTTTGGTTCGAGAATGATAATATTTTTTTTAGTATAACTAATTAAATTATTTATAAAACACTTATCATCCATTTTATTTTAAAATTTTATCTTTCTCAATATAAATGATTAAAAAATTAATATAATCAACATCTAATATTTTTATTTTATTATATTTAAGTTTATAAAATTAAATATTAAATTATAATGTATAAAATATAAATAGTTAAATACGATATACAAAATTAATAATTTTTTCTTATCCTCAAGATAATTTCTTTTCAACTAAATATAAAATATAAAGCATATTAAAAACATATACTCAAGATAATTTTTTCTTATATAATTAGGATTAATAAAAATAATATATTAGTAAAATTTTAAACAATAACCAATAATGCAACAATAGAACTTATATTTGAGAATTACATATACAATAATTTTTTAATTTTTAAAAATTAAAATTATTAAAAATATAATCCTCATAACAGAATAAAACCATGAAAAATAAGAGATATAACCTATATAACAAAAAAAAAATGATTGATGATTCGTAGAAACTTAAAAAAGAAAATCTATAGAAACTTAAAATATATGAACAAATAGAATATAATTGAAATAAATAAATAATAATAATATAAATAAAAAAAGTTAAATAAAAACTTTACATTTTTATAATTTCACAATATAAGGATAGAAAAGAAAAGAGGGAAAGATGGGTGGAGAAACTTAAAAAATAAAAAAAATTAAGAATTTGAGTAAAATTGAATGGAGTTTGTAAAGTCATTTTACTATTTTTTAAATTATATTAATTATTTAATAAAAAAATAATTTAAAAAATTATTAAAATATATATAATATATAAAAAATTTTAAAAATTTTGAGGGGACTATGGCCTTCACATTACAAAGGGATGCTCTGCCCTTGATTGAGATTGTATTAAAACTATATACTATCCATTTATAAAACACATTATATCATTAATAAATAAAGATAAAAATTTATAAAATTTAAAAAATAAATATTAAAAATTTTTAATGATTAATCAAAGAAAAGAATAAAATATTTTTATTTATTTATTTTTCCTTCTTTCCCCCTCTCTTGTTCTTCATACTCGGGTATTCAAACCAAAATCCTCTTACACGCTTCTTTCTCCCTCTTTTCCATCTAGTAGTATAAGAGATTATCTAATATGTTTCCCTAGGCCTTAAATAATTTGAAGAACAAGAGAGAGGGAGAGAAGTTGGAGGAGGATTTTGGCCTAGATGCTTGTATATGAAGAACAATAAAATGAGAGAAAAACGTGGGTGAGAGAGAGTGAATATTTTTTTTATTTTTTATCTAATTAATCATTAAAATTTTTTTAATATTTATTTCAAAAACTCTGCAAGTTTTTATCTTTGTTTATTAACAATGTGATTTTTTTTAATAAATTGACAATATTTGTGATAAAATCAGCATAAAGAAGTTGAGAGAGAGTGGATCGTGAAATGAACCAGTGAAGGATGAAATGAACTTTCTTGTACTGAAATAGTTAATACAAGTGTATTTATAGATAGATAACAACCAATTGGAATAAGCTACAACTCACAAATGAAACTAATAATTAATTTTTTACTATACAGTAAGTGTAACTATTAAATTGTAATTTTATATTTATTCGTCTTATATAAATATTACACGTGTCTTTTTAACCTCTTACTCTTAACATAAGGAGTCTTGATGCTCTGTTCATACCAGATCTTTCTTCAATGTGCAAGTCCTAAGGGGCTTGACTATTCTTTAAATATCATCTTTAATGCTTAATACTCCTCCTCCTCAAGGTGAAATGTGCATGTTATGCACATTCATCTTGCTGAGAAGTCTGTGAAATACCTTTAGTTGCAGAGCTTTAGCAAGCAAATCTATAACTTGCAAAGTTGTTGAAATATGAATAGGATTGATGAAACTAGATTTTACTTTGTCACGAATAAAATGGCAATCCATTTCAATACACTTGGTTCGTTCGTGCAGAATAGGATTTTTGCATATATGAATGACTGACTGACTATTAGTATAAAGCTTTATAGCTATTGAACTCTCAATCCCAAAATCTGAAAGCAAGCAATTTAACCACATTACT